GCCTTTTCTTTCTTTTTTTTTTTTGAGACAGGGTCTCATTATGTAGTTGAGACTGACCTGGAATTCACTATGTAGTCCAGGCTGATCTTGAACTCACAGCGATCCTCCTGCCTCAGCCTCCTGAGTGCTGGAATTACAAGCCTGTGCCAACACGCCCAGCTGTACTTCCTTTTTCTGAGAACTTCACTACTTCTTCTCCTTCTCTTTCTTCTTTTCTTTTTGTTTTTTGAGACAGAGTCTTGTTATATAGCCAAGGCTGGCCTTGAATTTATGGCAATCCTCCTGCCTCAGCCTCCTGAGTGCTGGGTTTATAGGCGTGCACTATCACGCCTGGCCTGATCACTTCACTTCTAAATCTCAAGTGCTGTGAGGTGGGACTCATTAAGTGATGTTGTAGCTCTTCTATTTAAGTAAGCCCTGAAACCTGGGAACATTCCTGCAATAATTGTTTCTTCCTCTCTTGTGCTGTATTCAGAATCCAGGAAGACAGCCCTCCTCCAAATGGTGAGTCAGGATGGAATCTAGACGGATTCATGGTTTCAGGGTGCTTCACCTACATCCTTCTTCAGACAGTGCTGTGCTTTCCAGCAAGAGAAGAAGACCATAGGAGAGGAAAAAGAAGATGAAGGCCAATGTACCTGGGTAATGATTTGGAACCACAGAGGGAATCCTTCAAGATGTTGGGAATGGTTTGGTCTAGAGCAAGTCTATTCCTTGAGGGTCCTTAAAAAAAACAAAGAGGGCTGGGGATTTAGCTCAGTGGTTCCCTCGCCTGCCTCACAAGTGCAAGGTTCCGAGTTTGATCCCTGGTACCAACAACAAAACAAACAAACAAAAAACAAAGAGAAAGAGAAAAGGAAAAAATGGAAACAGTCTTTGTAAATTGGGAAGGGTGGAGGGGGTGAAGGGAGGACAGGGGTGTGGAGAAAAAATAAGAACCAAGATACATCATGTAAGGGTACAAAATCCCAATGATGAATGTAACTGTAAGGCATACCTAAAATGTACCAATAGACATAATAAAAAGAAACACACAAAAAACAAAACCCCAAGGGATAAGTTATATTTATTTTACTTATCTCAGACTTAGAGCTAGATTATTACTGATATTCAGTTAAACACCAGGTAAACATGGATTACCCCCTCTTGGATAATAGCCTAGTTTGTAATAAATAGTTTGAAAGCATCTTCATACTTCAGTGCTATCTGGCTAAATTAAAGATTTGAATACTGGTGTTTTGTGGCTAAGTTAGATTTTTCCACAAGTAGAACGTGTCCCTTTAGCTCCACCCTGAGTGACTGTTGGGTTGACAGGAAATGCTGTAGTGATAACAAGGAAACAGGATGCACAGGAAGGCCTCCTTGTTCCTCCGCCACCATCTCTCGATGGTCATGTGGTTTGAGTTGCTTGAACAGTAGGGGAGTTTCCAGGACTGTTTTGATCCCTCTTCCCTAAATGTCCCTCCTACCTAGGAACCTCTGCCTGAAAATGTCATGTTTTCCATGTAATTAGAAACAAAGCAGAAATATCAACACATCACAAAACAGATTATTTATTATTTAATTATTGCTCACTTTTTAAGGCAATACTGGTTTGAACCCAACTCTGTGCTGCATCCCTAGCCCTTTTTATTTTTTATTTTGAGACAGGTTTTTGCTAAGTTGATAAATTGCCCAGTTTGGTCTTAAACTTTAGATGCTCCTAGCTCAGCTCTCATAATGCTTGGATTGTGTACATGTCCAGTGCACTCAGCTCAGAAGAAGACATTCTTAAGTAACTCACAATTTTCATTTTCACAGCAGACACACAAACACACACTCAATTCACATAACCTTCCATTCATACCAAGACTAGCCATGTATGTCCCCGAAACTTCTTCAGACAATGGATATCAAACATACAGTTTCCAACGCTGAGAGAAGAAAGTAAGAAGCAATATTCTTCTGTTCTTTGGTCAGAGTTGTTGTGGCTGTGCTCTTTGCTGCCACTGGTGCTGGGGGTGGAGCTTCACTTCTGCTCTGGCTCCCACTTCTGGGCCAAGTGTCCATCCCCTGAATGAGGGCCTTTGGCCACGACCACAGTGTCCCTTCTTGATAGGTTGTGTAGAGAGTGGTCTGCAGAATGTAGCTCAATCTTTCCCTTTTCAGAATACTTCTCTCTTTTTCGGTCTGTTCCAACACCTGAATGTTTCTGTTTCTCTTTAGTGACACTGCAGATGGGAGCAGAACGCCACCTTAGAAGAGAGATCACACCTTCATCAGCATGCATGATTTTTATCAGGCCCATGCCCTGGCATGTTGGAAAGTTCATAAGCCAAACCCTGAGGTGTAAAGATAACTTGGACAGTAAAATAAGTGACAACAAATATCAAGTGATGTCATTAATTCAGAGGACGTGAAGGCTTGGAGGTGGGGTGAAAGGTAAAATTTGTTTTGAACTGGCCTCTCATATGTTGTACTACCAGCCAGTTTCTGGTTTTATAAAAGGAAATGAGAATAATTAGAAAGAGGAAATAAAAAGTTAAAAACCACAGAACAGTGTCAAAAACAATTTGACTAAAAAACCAGTAAAATAGAACAGTCTGTGTTGACTCATAATAAATATCCACAAACAGATGATCCCGCCCACAATGTCACTCAGCTTTTAATCATTTCTCATCATTTAAATGTCTCTTTAGAAACTGACAAACCTTAGGGTCAGGTAAATCAACAATTATCAACATTTTATAATCCATACACTTCTGGTTGACTGATTTTCAACAAAGGTACCAGGAGCACATGATAGAGAAAAGACAGTTTCTTCAATGAGAAGTGTTGGGACAACTGAATACCACATGCAGAAGAATAAAGTGGGATCTTTATTGCACACCATGCTATCAATTGAGTATTTGTCCCTAGAATCCTGTGTTGGAAGCTGGATTTAGAAATGAGGCCTTTGAAGGGTACTACCCTTGTAGGTGGACTAACACTGTCCTGGGAGCAAAGTAGCTTTGTTCTCTTAGAAGTGGCTCTGTTATAAAAAGTGAGCTTCCCTGCGGTCCTGGCTTGTTCTTCCACTCTTCTTCCATGTTATGACACAGCATGAGGCTGTCATCAGAAGAGAGCAGATGATGGCACCACAGTCTTGGACTTCTCAACTCCAGAGTTGTGAGCCAAAGTAAACTTCTTTCCTCTATAAATTACCCAGTCTGAGGGGGTATCACAATTTCCAACTTGAAACTATACTACAAAGCCACTGTGATAAAACCAGCATGGTACCGGCAAAGAAACAGACCTGAGGATCAGTGCAATAGATTAGAAGATGCAGAAACAACTCCAGATGTACTCAGTTACATCTTTGACAAAGGAGCCAACCATCCTCACTGGAAGAAAGATAGCCTCTTTAATAAATGATGTTAGAAAAACTGGCTTTCAACCTGCCGAAGATTAAAACTAGACCCTTAACTTTTACCATGCACTAAACTAAAATTGAAGTGGACTAAAGATCTAAATATTAAAACAGAACACTAAACCGTCTGGAAGATGAGTTAGAAGACATTGGCATGAAAAGACTATGAAAAAAATCCTTAGTAGCATGGGAACTAGCACAAAGAATCAACAACTGGGATCTCATCTTATTAAAAAGCTTTTGCACTGCAAGAGAAACCACCAACAGAGCTAAGAGACAACCTATAATGTGGGAAAACATTTTTACCAGCTGTTCCTTATACAAAGGTCTACTATTTAGAATATATAAAAAAACTAAAAAAAAAAAAAATCAGACTCCCCCAAATACAAGGACCCAAATCAAAAATGGGCATCTGAAATGAACAGACATTTCTTTGACAAACAAGTAAAAATACCAAATAAATATATTAAAAAAATGTTCAACAGCACTGTTCATTCGAGAGATGCAGATGAAAACAACACCTTCCACCTCAGAAAAGAATGGCTGCTATTAAGAAATCAATGAATAACAAAGGTTGGTGGGGTTGTGTGGAGAAAGGAACCCTCTCCATTGTTGGTGGGAATGCAGACTGGTGCAACCACTGTGGAAATCAATATATAGATACCTCAAAGAACTAGGACTAGAGGTTCCATTTGACCCAGCTATCCCTCTGCTGGGTATCTTTCCAAAAGAATTAAAAGAATCATATTGCAGTGACATATGCTGTGTTTATAGCAGCACAGTTCATAATAGCTAAAACTTGGAAACAGCCCAATTGCCCACCAGTTGGAGACTGGATAAAGATGTGTTTTTTTCTATGAAATGGAATACTACTCAGCCAAAAAGAACAAGAAACTGGAGACATTTACAACTAAATGGATGCATTTGAAGCCATACTCTTAAGTGAAATAAATAAGACACACGTGTAAATACCAAATAGTTTCTCTGGTATGAAAAATTAAAAGTGTAAATAAGGTTAAAAATCGCACAATTGACAATGTGATATAGAAAAAAGGGGCTAAAGGAGTAGGGGAAGTGGGAAGCATAGGGGAAAGGAAAGAAGGGAAAAGAAAAAAATGAGAAAAGGAAAAAATGGAAATGACATCTTTGTAAATAGGGAAGGGTGGAGGGGGTGAAAGGAGGGCAGTGCAATGGGGAAAAAAAAAAGAACTAAGATACATCATGTAAAGGTATAAGATCCCAATGAATGTAACTGTACTGTATATCTAAAAAGTGCCAGTAAACTTAATGAAAAAAAAATTACGCAGTCCGTAATATGTTTTATATTACCTGGAAATGGACTAAGACACACTATATACAAAAATCAACTCAAAATGGATTAGATTAAAAATGTAAATTATAAGACCTGAACCTTTAGAACTGTTAGAAGAGAATGTAGGGAGAAAAGCTCCATGACATTGATCTGAACAATGATGTTTTGGACATGACCCCCAAAGCACAGGTAGCCAAAGAAAAGCGAGACAAATGTTATGACATCCAATTATAACGTTTCTGCTCAGCCAAGGACACAATCAAGAGTGAAGAAGTGCTGGGGATTTAGAACAGTGGTGCCATCACCTGCCTTGCAAGCACAAGATTCTGAGTTGGATCCCCAGTACCAAACAAAAAAACAAAAAGAGTAAAGAAGAGAAGCTATACAATGGGGGAAAAAGATTTTAAAGAAATACACCAGCAAGGAGTTAATGTTCAAGTATTTAAGGAACTCAATAGTAAGAAAATAAATAACATAATTAAAAGATGGGCAATCAACCTGAATAGAAGTTGCTCAAAATAAAGCATATAAATGGTGAACAGGTACATGCAAAAGTGCCTAATATCATTAATCATCAGTAAAATGCAAATTAGATATTGCTTCAAACCTATTAGAATGGCTATTATCAGAAAGATAAGATAACAAGTTTGGAAAGTATGTAGAGAAAAGGTTACTTTTGCATATTGTTGGTAGGAATATAAGTTAAGGTAGCCACTATGGAAAACAGTGTGTAGGACCCTCAAAAAAATAAAACTAGAATTACCATATATCCAGAAATCCCAGTATTGGGTATTTATGCAAAGGAAATGAAATCAGTATGTTGAAGAGATGTCTGCTTAATTCAGTGCATCATTATTCATAAGTTAAGGTAAAAAATCAATTATATGTTCATCAATAGATGAATACAGTCAAAAAGTTATATGCACACACAATCAGATACTATTCAGTCTTAAAAAAAGGAGGGAATCCTGCCATTTGTGACAACATGGATGACCTGGGAGAATATGATGTTAAATGAAAGACAAATTCTGTTTGATTCACTTTTATGTGGAGTCTAAAAAAGTCCAACTCAGGGAAACAGAGTAGAATGGTGGTCTCCAGAGATTGGGAATGGGGGACTGAGGAGCTGTTGATCAAAAAATACATTGCAGTTAAATAGAAGGATTAAGTTAAAAATACCTACTATACATCATGGTGACTGTAGTTCATAATGATATATTCTTTTTTCTTCTTTTTATTGAGTTTATTGGTACAATCTAGGTATACAATACAGTTACATTCATCATTGGGATTCTGTACCTTTACATAATAAGTCTTGATTCTCATTTTTTCTCCTTGTCCCTGCCCTCCCTTCATCCCCTCCTCCCCTCCCCATTTACACACACTTTATTTCCATTTTTTCAGTTTCTCATATTTTTTTCCTCTCCCTTATTACCTTTCCCCCACCCTTCCCACTTTCCCTACACCTTTAGCCCTTTACTTCCTATTTCACATTATCAATTATCTCATTAGGATCCTGTGTTCTATTATAGTTTTTCACACCAAAGAAACTATTCGGTATTTCAGTTAAAGAAATCTCTGTACGAACATTAAAAATAGGGAATCCTAAAATAAAACTAAAAAGGAAAGTAAAAGAGAAAAGGCAATGATGTAACATTAAAATAATCCTTAATTCTGGAGATGAAAATAGTTCCTGAACATATTTAAATTACTTCTTCCTCTTATAGTCTTATCTTATTCTTTTTTTGATTATTTAGAGAATACTTTATTAGTTTCTGTAATCAAACCCACGTAGATGTGACCTTACATATTTAGTATGATGTGTTACCCCTGTACACATGGAAAAAATTTTTTAAAAATTAACATTTCTAGACCAATATGGCTGTCCATTTCTGTACAATGCCAACTCAACACAATAAATTGGGATGACTTTTTCCAAAGGTG